ATGATGATGATGATGATGATGATGATGATGATGATGATGATGATGATGATGATACCGACAACTTTAAGCTCATCCGATTGGGTGATGCACAGAAAAATTACTGTAAATCTTTTTTTTTTAATTTAACGATAGAAATGTATTCAAAGTCATCATACCACTTTCCCAGTAAAAAGCCTTTACCATAGTATCTTTTCTTTGTTGAAAATTAATAAACAACATTTCTGAACTGATATTCAGTAATCTACATTACTCTGCTAGTAGAATGCATTAAATCACCCTCATGTGGAGTTTACTTTGTTAAAAAAGAACTCTGTTTGAAGATGCCTGAGTCACTCCATACCCGGGTGATAAAGGCACCCCCCCCCCCTATTTTCCCATATATTTTCAAGGAATCAGATTGTTTTCTCCCAATGGAGTCTAGATCAATACTTCTCAACCACCACCCTAATTTGAATCCTAAAATATTAACTTAAACACATGACTTTTCAAATTATGAATCCTAGAAGCTGTAAAAAGTGTCTTGGTCACCTCGGTTTACCATACATTATATTTCAAGCAAATGGAGAAGTGCCGATTTGCCAGAATCAAAGTGTGCTAACTTACCTGTGTGTCGGTGGTTGGCGGGCGCTCTGGTGCGGTTTTCACATTCTTTCTTATCAAACATCTATCGTCCTTATCTCCCCTCCTTCTTTTTGCGTTTGCCACTCTCTTGTAACACCTCTAATCTTTGGCAGTTATATGACCTTATTGCGTTGCAAGTGTTGTAAAACTCTTGTTAGCAACAACAAAAAATAGTAATAAATATTAAACAATTAAAAAACTTACCCGTGTCGCGTTGTGACATCTGGCGCAGTACGAGTTGTAGAATGTGGCGTTTGTTGTTGGATCGAAAATATGGGCAAGTGTTGCTCGGGAAACCTCCAGATCAGCAGCTTTGGCTTCACATAGAGATATCACCCTCCTGTCATCATAGCTCTCAGGACATCCGCGGACTATCAAAGCGGGGCTCTCATAGTTGGAGTATTTGTAACAAAATAGTTTATCAGTGTGAGATGTCGAGGGTAGTGCCATCCAAATTTCGGATTTATTGGTGAGAGGCATTTTAATTTCGCTTGTTAATGAGATACGCGAAATCTTTCTCAAACCTTTGAAGGGATTGCTGCGTAAAGGTGGTTGTACGCCGCGAGGTAAAGCAGTCGGAACATGTCGTGTTCTGTTTGCTCTAAAGGAGGAGTCAGCAGATGACAGTGGTGGGTAAGAGCCCTTAGAGAGTGTGTTTAAAGAATCGACTGCGGCACTGTTTGTAGTTGAATGCGATTTAGGTGTCTCATCAGACAATGGGAAATAATCATTCGTCATCAAATTGTGGATTAAATCAGGACAGCATGTGCCATAGATCCTGCACCTAGGTTTATCACAAGTACACTCAAAACACTCCAAGTTACGGCATGGGAGTAGTGCCAGGTCACGCTTGACTTCCCCTTCACACACGAAAGAGCAAAAGCCAAAGTGGTAATCTTCAATTGTGCTCAACGTTTTGTTCCAAATATATTTACGAATTCCTGTCGAGCGAGGTTTTCGTTTCAATAATTGATGAAGGTCTTGTGTATCACACTCATTTTTTGACCGCACCGTGAGAAGATTATTTCTGTAACTAAGTGTGAAAATTGAAATTGTCTTGTTCCCTTTCCCCCCATGTTGCTCCTGTTTATCAAAACTAGCACCTATTCCGTAACGCAGAAAAGCTTGTGTTACAAAAAGTAAGCCCAGCATTATGACGTTACCTGTCCGAGACATTGGGACATCACAGCACAGTTTAGGGAAGGTATAATGTGCATCTAAGAGACAAAACAACACTAGCTAACTCATAATCTACTGCATCTCTTAGTCAAACCCAGCGCCTCAATTTATACCTCAGAACTGACCTTTTCGAGGGACTAAGGTTAATACAACCAGGAAATCCACCCCTAATGTCGTAATGAACATAGTGAATGCAATTCAATTTGATTGGTGAGTTGCTCCCGCTGGATTGCTTCCCGTGGAGACAAGAACAACACTAACAACCTTGAAACCGTTTAAATTATTCAAATTTCGGATGCTTTAGAGCATATGTCAATAGGATTCTTTCGGTGTCTTCACTCCGTGAAAATGTCAGAACATATGCTTTGGTACTAACATTTCATTTATTAATGTGTTTGCCCTTTCGCACCTTTTTCCCAGTGTACCGATGGGCAAAAAATGCTGATTGGTGGCATTTAGAATGTTTTGATATGCATAGCTTTGGGACAATGGAGAAACTCCGCATAGAAATATGCTCGGGGAGGGGGCTGCATCCTGAAAGCTCTGATTCGTGTTAAAGCTATGGATTTTGGGATGTACCCATTTTTATCTACTTCAGCCTCTCTTATAACTATTTCGTCGCAAAAAAAACCTCATAAGGCTTATATTGTAACATATCAGGCATGTATGTCACAACCATATCCTCTTTAAGTCTCACTTTTTTATCGTCCGTTTTCTCAAATCACGGTTTTTTTATATTATACTTTTTTTAACCATCATTCTTCATCCAATCTTTATGCAATTTTAACCGATTGAAGAGAAGATGTAACGCTGTAAAATGTTGAATTTTCAATATTTGGAAGGAGGTGTTGGCCTCTCATTCAAAGGTCCCGGGTTCGAATCCGGGTAGCGACCGAAAAATTTTCTTCTCTAAAATTGTCTCCTTTATCCTCCTTTCCTACTCTCTAGCAATGTTCTGTTGTCTGCTTTCAATTCCACTTTCTGCCCCCACCCCCTCACCTCCTTTGCCCCCTCCTCTGGGCTCCTGACTCTTGCTGCAGCCTTTCTACTGCTACTCCTTGGCTCCTCCTTACTGCTGTCTTTCTGCCACACTCCTGATTTTATGGTAGGAAAGATCTACACCTAGCCTTCTCGGACAAGGGCGAAAAATCTCGGAGGTCCCGTGTGCAAGTTGCGCACGTTAAAGATCCCTTGGTGGTCTAAAATCGATAAGAGTAGGCTTCGGCCGCCACCCGGGCAAAATTCAAAATTTCCTACTAACTGAAAATATTAGGTGTGCCCCGCGCGCTCATATGACCTATGCAGTTGCGAGCGCCGTAAAATACTTTACAAAAACAAAATAAAAACAATATTTGGAAGAGATTTTTGTTTCGTGGCGTCTGCAGTGTGGACTTTCACTGAATTTTTTCAACCTTGAATACTTCATGTACTTCAAGAAAAAAAATCATTAAATAATGTCCTAATCCGTTACGGAAAACTTCAACAGACCATTTTAGGGCTATTGTTTGTTAAGATGCAGGCAAAATTTCAACCAATTTCCATTGTTTGTTAAGATGCAAGGGAAATAACAACCGATTTCCATTGAACAAATGAGGTGTTAACTGTACAAGACATGTCAACAAAATCCAATATGGCTGCCGTCTCCATGGCAACAAAACTTTTTTTTCTAAAATGTGATTGTAGATTTGAAGACTCCTCACTATGTTTGTTATATGTGTGAAATTTGGTCAAATTTGATAGACAAATAAGCGAGATCCCCCCCCCCCCCCCCCCCTGTTTCTCTCTCTCTCTCTCTCTCTCTCTCTCTCTCTCTCTCTCTCTCTCTCTCTCTCTCTCTTTCTCTCTCTCTCTCTCTCTCTCTCTCTCTCTCTGTCTCTCTCTCTCTCTCTTTCCTTTACACACACAAAACACACACACACACACACCCACACACTTACACACACACACACACACACACACACACACACACACACACACACACATATACACATACACTTACACACACAATGCACGCAAGCTTCCAAATCTTTTCTTTCCCAGAACTCCAGTCTCATATCCAGTAGGAGGATAGAAAAAAAAATAACAAGAAAACAAAAACGTGAACACATTGGTACAAAGAGGTCGACAATATGATTATTTAAAACATCAGCCATCTCGACTGGAATTGTTGTATTAGTATTTATTAAGGAATTTCCAGAATGCAATGCACAGGTGTTAAAAGATATCCATGTGCTGATACAAATTCTTTTGATTTATTGTGAAAAAGTTGGAGAGTCCATGTTCGATAGTTCTTAGAAATTTGATAATAAGTAGCCCCACGAATTTTTGCCCACACTAAAAATAAGATACACGAACGGTAGCTGGATGTCGACATTAATTAAAGCTGAGTACAACAATAGAAATCTGTTTCAAACGTGCCCCCGTCCCCCCCCCAGCTTAGCCAAAGAATATTCCAGCAAGCATTGACCACTCCCTCAAAGTTTGTCAAGACTTCTTCAGTGAAGCAGCTCTTCAGCTCCTGGCTACGGACGGCTCCCCTCGATGTGTTGAATTTCTGATGTCTCGAGGATTCACACGGAATGTTGCCAAAGGTTGTGATCTTCAGGAATCCGGTCACTTCTTCTTTAATTGCACAACTGACAAGGAGTGCACGGGGTGACAGCTTCTGGACATTAGTAGGGATGTATCCCTGTGCGTGTCTTAATGTATCTCCTGTCTTTAAGAGGTTTAATATGTCATCTTCTTCTGTGCATGAGAGCTGCAGATAATCACGTACCTACGGTCGCCCCAGAAGCTCCCTGCGAGGAGGGAGCGCAGAAGCAGCTGTAAATGCCCTTTTCTTGAGTTTGCTGGGCTCGGTGGCCGCATCCGCTTAAGCGAGCATAGACTTTCAGAGATCCGGCCTCGAAGCATATTACCTGCGTGAGCCACCTTCTGCCTCCCGCCGTCTCTTGTTAACTGTACACGTCTTGTTCTTGTTCTTAATCTTCATCTGTTGACTTGTTATACCGCCAGTAACTACGTTTGCACCTTAGAGAATCTTTGCGAGAAATAGGGGGTGCTACAAAAAGGTTTGCTCAAGGACACTTGTAAGGTGGAGCCAGTGCACTGACACTTCAGTGCTGCTTTGACTACATATACACGGGAGGTTAGAGGCTAGGCCGCCCTGCAGAGGCATATCAGTATTGCAACGCTTCAACATTTCCTTACGTAGGTCCAGACTTGGCAGCTATTCAAGAAAATGACATGTAACATGAATTTTGTTTGTATTCAGTAAGGACATTTCAGTAATGATATACATTCCAACGGACTGTTTTCAACACAGAAACCCTTTCCAAACATCAAATACTTTAAATAATGAATATGACCAAACACGACTAATCCTGATTAAAAGTACAACGTGATTCCGTTTACAGGGAGAATAATTCCAGTCCAGACAGGCACACAAGCTGTAAAGATAAGACCTCTCATGAACGTTTTATTCACACGTCACGAATTCCCCTACAACATGACGCACAAAGTTCTGCTCACTCATCAACAGTCTCATTTTGCTAACGCCAGAGCTAAGAATTCTTCCCGTGTCTTGGGGTCATCGCGAAAGACTCCTACCATGGCACTGGTAATGGTTTTGCTGTTCAGTTTCTGCACCCCTCTCATCACCATGCACATATGGCAAGCCTCGACAACGACTCCAATGCCCGCAGGGTGCAGTGCCTCTGCGATAGCCTCAGCTATCTGTTTGGTGAGCCGTTCTTGAACCTGTAGCCGGCGGCTGTAAACCTCCACAATTCGAGCCAGTTTGCTGAGCCCAAGAATCTTATTGTTGGGAAGATAACCTATGTGCACTTTGCCCATAAAAGGTACCAGATGGTGTTCGCATAGAGAAAACATCTCTATGTTCTTCACCAACACAATCTCGTCATGTCCTTCATCGAATATGGCGTCGTTCAGGATTTCAGCTACGTTTTCTCTGTAACCTTTTGTGAAGAACATCATCGCCTTAGCCACTCGCTGTGGTGTTTTTAATAGACCTTGCCTATTGGGATCCTCCCCAAGATGTGTTATTATTTGCTTATACAGTGATGCCATCTCGTCAACAATATCCCTTTCGTTCACCTCAGCTGCAGGGACACCGTTCGAAGTGATTGAATCTGCTCCATTCGTCATTTTGTTGCGGTGTTTAGCCAGGCCAGATGAAATGTGGTCTTTTATGTCTTGTTGTTGCATGCTGGATTCGTACGTATCGTGAGAAAACGAACGCGACCTAATGACTTTCCTTGGCGACTGTCCTGGTCTTTGAGATTCTGATAAGCCTTCTATGTTTTCATCACTGCGCTCGTAATCCGTACCATAACTGAGGCTTGGCTGGCTCACGAAAGTCAAAAGATGAAGGGTTTCCTCGAGCTAGATGTTTGGGTCTGGCACAGGAGGTTGGGAATGACTTGGGAAATTAAATGTGGGGTTATCGCTCTTGTTATTCCAGATAGAATAATAATATGCTGTTGAAGGTAACAGACCACGCTCACGACCCCGCGCTCCCTGGACAATTTTATTTGTGGAGTCCTCACCCACTTCAGAGGGTTGCTTGCTCGAGCTCGCTCGTAGACCAAGTGTGAATTTATAGACATTTATAGTGGCATAATATACAGGAAGATCGAAGGCGTGTTATATTTAGGGATACAATTATAAAACATTGTCTAAAATATAAGCCATTAACTTGTGCGATTGTGCAATATGATTATGCCATGTTTACAATTATCTTCTTTTTTAGTTTAAAAGCTTTGTAAAAATGTTTTAGCGATGGTGTTCAGTACTGCTAATCGATTGTGACAGTGTGTTAAAAGATAAACAGATATTGTCTTCTGTGCAGATGAAGATTGTTTGATCCATAAGGAAGCCGGTAATGGCTTTTAGTGTTTTGTGGAACGCATATGAATGCGCGTCTGAGTGTGTCTGTTAAAGTGTGTTTGTGAGAATGTGGTCTGTTCATAGACTATAAAAAAATCATTTGTCAGAAGCTTTTGCAACAGTTAACCGATTTGGTGGATTCAGCATTAACATAATTATTATTCTCTGATGTTACGACAGTGTGTCATTTAAATGCAGTTTCTTATTTTTTTAACTTTTGAATAGTACGTTGCAAAACACCACAGCAGCGTATGGATGATAACGATGTATCTCACCTTGTCTAAAAGAGCTCTAGACAGTCTCAAACCTGACACTGAAAGTGTTAACAGTGTTCAGAGCGGGAAGTATTCGCCATCGTTTGGACTTCATCAAACCAGACACCGACGTCTAAGGGAGGAGAAGTGGTGAGAAAACGGATTTTTCCTGAAAAAAGTATTTCCATGTGGGTAATCTCTAGATGTTGTTTTTTTTTCAGACCATTTTTGTGTAGGAGTTTTACATCCCTTTGGACACAGCTTCCATCATTTATGAGGCGGGCTTCCGATTCTGCCAGTCAGGGCCAATTCGGACTGAGAGATACAGCTTCCCAGTAGAACGACCGAGATTATACTAGATAAAATGTCTCCCAATTCGGGAATCGAACTCGGATCTCCAGGGTGCGAAAGTGAAGCGTCTGACAGCTAAATCACTGATGCCAGTATGTCTAATCTGATTGTTTGTCGTCGATTCTGTTTTTGAAAAACAGATGCATCGTCTTGGTTGTCATACTGGTTGGGGGGGGGGGGGGGGGTTAAGATAAAATTTATTTTTCAATCAAGAATTGAATTACCGGAAACGGTCAGTTGCAAAATGTATAATTGAATCTAAGTAGTTATTTGGTGACGGGTGGGGGGGGGGGGGTTGGGGAGGGGGATTTTAATAATATGTGTTCGCCTGGAGAAAGGTCCCCGTAGTCGGAAAGTTTGGATATTGAAGTAACGGCTTATTGTTTTAGCAAATTTAAAGCTTAAACACGCTGATTTTTCAATTGTCCAAATATCTTGAGTCGTTTTAAAGATGTGTCACGTCTCTTTAAAAAGGTTTGGACGAAAACCCAATTTCTAGCACATTTTAAAACTTTGGTGAGGTACAATATGTTGTGTGCAAAAAAAAACAACTAAAAAGAATATCTAAACTTAAATTATCAAACATTGCTGCCAATGTGTTAAGGAAAAAAATGGTTAAACATGTTTTCTGATGAAACCAAATTTTTCGTTGCTCAAACATAAATAGCTTTGCGGAAAACGGGGACCTTTCTCTAGGCGTCGGTGGCCTAGTGGTTAAGCTCTCGGACTCGCAACCATAAGGTCGTTGGTTCGAATCCCGTCAGGGGCCCGATGTTGTGTCCTTGGGAAAGGCACTTTACACGAATTTTCCTCACTTCACCCTGGTGGGAATGGGAACCCAGCTATAGACAGCAAAAGATCTTGTCAGTTTGTTAGTGTTTGAGCGCTTAATCAGCTGCTTGCATTGTATGCTTCCCGGGAAGCTTAGAATGTTTCTGAGTGTTCTATGGTCTGCTGGGGTAATAATATAGTGTAAAGCGCATAGAGCCTGCTGTTGAGCGGGGGTGTGCGCTATACAAAAGCTACTTATTTATTATTATTATTTATTATTCACTCACACACATATCTAACAAAATTCTAAAGCTGAACACTTATTTTCAATTCTCACTGTAGAAGTCTAAAACACTTTTTTTTTCTTATTCAAAATTCAGCGCCACTACACAAGTTCAAAACGACTATGACTTTGGTGCTTGTGTTCCAATTATTGCTACCCCCTCCAACTTCTTATTTGCTTATTTCACAACCACGAATACCACCACCAACAACAACAACAACAGCAGTAACAACAACAACAACAACAACAACAACAACAACAACAACAACAACAACAACAACGGAAACAAACCCTCCCCTACCCAAAAGATAAAAAATATACCCTAAATACCAGTCACCCCCCCCACCCCTCCAAAAAATACCAAAAACAAACAAACGAAAAATATCATAACAAAAAATTTTTTTTTTAAACTGCCAAGACGAAATATAATACGCCTTTTTGGTACAATCTCTTTGGATTTGTCCAGAAAGGTTTTACAGTTTTCAGCAATGTGACTGATTGTAGTACAGAAATGCCCCCCTCCCCCCCTTTCCACCACAATCCCCGAAAAAAACTCCACTCTCTTACAATCCCTAAAATAGCAGGTTTCTGCTACACCTCTGACATCTACATTTCAATCGATTTGTCACGACATTTATCTTTGGAAATGCTCAAAGCCATCATACTATTGTTTTTTCATTTACAGGTCCAAACTTTTGAGTGTGAGTGGTTGGTGGGTGCTCTAGTGTAGTTTGCTCCTGCTTTCAAATCAAACATCTCTCTATCTCCCCTCCTTTTTGGGGGAGTTTGTTACTGTCTTGTAACAACCCTAATCTTTTGCACTTATATGGCCTTACTGTGTTGCAAGTTCCGTAAAACTCTTACTAATATCAAAAACCTTGAGTATGTATATTGATAAAAGAATAAAAGAGAATTGAATATTCTAATTCTTTTTTGAGCGTAGCCAACAGGAGCACGCGAATCTTTTCAAACATGCGACAGTTGTTGTTTTTTTTTAGTAATTAATGCATACAATATGGCGTCAAAAAATCCGCACCATTATCAGGGCTTGGTTACTTTTGCTTGAATTGAGACTGAGATATAGTCGTGGGTACAGAGCTATACCACGGCAGAGCAGCAAAGGAATAGGTTAACATGTGTATCGTAGATCGGAGAGACAAAATGAATGTTATTGGAAGTAAATCTTTTTCCTGTTGAAATACGTTTTATTGAAGAACATCAAAGAGGTGGATTGCTTCAGTTATTTCTTTTAAGGTCATCTGGAACTTTGAGGAACACATCAGAGCAGTGAAAAGGCTTCAACCTGTCATTTGAAATGTGTTAAAAAGTAGACAATGAATACCTAAAGTTTGCTGTTTTTAAGAGAAGAACGGAGCACCTGTTGATTTGTCCAAAATGTAAGTACCGTTGTCACTGCCCCATAGACCAACGTTTTAGTTTTGCAGAGGTTTAATGGTTTCAGCACCAAGGAAAGTTCTTCTATGTTGTTTCCAAAGGCTACAAACAACAAATGTTCCTTTCATTAGCCTATAATCGAAGTATTCTATTCCAAGTTTCAACTTCCATATTTCTGTTTTATTTTTTTTTGTTTTTTTGTTTTTTACAAGAAGACAAACCTAACAATGACGGACACGAATGTGCCTGATTTTGAGCCCATCATCGAGTACCTGGGCGTAAAGGGAAAATATCAGGCCGTCCAGGTGGTGCTGCAAGCTCTGGGGACCTTTAGCCTTTCCTTTGCTGTACTGACCGGAGTGTTTACAGGTGAAAAGCTGAAGTGTTTGCTCCTTGATCCCATTCTTCTTTAAAATTTTAAGCCTTTGCATCAGTGGCGCTGGTTAGTCCCACTTATTTACTCTCCCTATCTTACTTCTGACTGTTTTGCTTTACTATCCCTCTCTTGTTTTTGTCTGTTTTGCATTTTCTTAGCGCTGAATACTCATTGCTCTGTTGTTGTCCTTCTCTTTATTAAAATGTTACTTATCAGAAAGCTACTGTTAACGCAGAACAGACTATTCTAAGGACACATCACTTTGTTCCCAGGAAAGAAGCTTTAAAAAGGGGATAAATAAACCATTTAAATGTAGCAAACCATTCTCTGACAAAATTGTCCATCATTTATTGCAGAAGCTACATCTTGTCTTAAACAGTATTCCTAATGATTCGCGTAAGAAATATTCCTCGTAAATGTTATTATCATAATTAAAATGACTGCCTCAAGAAGGACAGAATGGAAAGAATGTAAAATGATTTTGTTAAATATAAAAAATGTTTAAAAATAAAACTATTTTTAGAAACAGACTCAAACCTAAGATGCATATTATACTTTAGATAATTCTTAGTGCCAAACCTATTTGGCTGGTAGTGTGTTATTCTTCTCTAAAGATTCAAACGAGTCATCTGCATATCTTAATTCTCTTAAATGCATTCCTAGTGCAGCTGGCTCGCCATTTTATCCCTTCTTAAGTTATGCTCTACTTCCTGCACTATTCCCTCTGCATATATGCTGAAGATATTAGGTGATAGTATGAATCCTTTACAGATGCCTTTTGCAACAGGAAATCCTTCTGTTGTCCCACAATTATGCTGTTTGGCCAGTTGTTATTTTCATAAAGGGATTTGATCAGATCAATCAGTTATTTTGAATGAAAGTTCATTTCTTATTGAGTTTGTTACATGATTCCGATAACAACCCCCCACCCCCGTGAAAAATAGTACAAACTATTACTTAAGCCATTGCTACGACGAAAGGCAAGTTCTGCGAAGTCAGAGCCAATACAAAAACAAACACCAAGAAATCCCAGCCAGCGCCCGTCTGAAGGAATAGATCTCCCCAGGGTACGAGCCGGCCCACGAGTGCAATGCCGTGAATGTGACGGAAATGAGGGATCTCTTCTCTGTGCCGGACAACGCCAGTCTGGAGGCAAGCTACGGGAAGTGTGCCGTGACTTTGGTGGTCAACGACTCTGCCGCTGTGACGACACATACGATGAGCTGTGTCAACGGACACAATTATTTCGGCAACAAATATATTTCCTTTACGTCTGAGGTGAGAATAGTAACATCAGAGTTGACCGAGACAGAGAGGAGGTCAGAAATTGAATCAGGGTTCGAATGATATATCTTTTGTATTTGGCTTTCTACAGGCAGGGGCGAAGGCTGACTTGTTTAACAGGGTAATCAAAGTGAGACAGGACCCGATAGGGCCTGGATAATACCACACAAGAATCTTACTCGAGAGGGCAACACTGAGTTGTTAATGAAAGCAAACCTTGAATTCATGTTCTTTGCATGTTAAACCGCTAAAATAATCGGGAAAGTATTTAATTAAAAATTTATTCCAACTAACATTATATCTAACTTTAGATGTGAATACACGAACACAAAGCAAAGAAGCAGAGATGTCAGGACTTTCAGTATTCAGTACTAACATGTATTACCAGTGAGTTTGAACTCTTTGGTAGAACATGAAAATTATTTATTTTTTATTTCACATTTGGCTGCTTTTGTCTAGCTTTTTGCGTCCAGGAGCCGGTGTCATTATCGAGGTCACGATCTGATTATAGGACGGCAAAAAAACGTAGCAGTAAAGATATTATTAGGAGTTAGTTCCCCTCACATCTGTGAGGTAGACTCGACCAGTGTAATAGTTAGCTTCCATAATCAGTGCTTCTTGTGTCTGCTTATAACTGGGGCTAGAAAGGGGTGAAGAGGGTATATGTGGCAATAAAACCGTTTAGACTGTTCTACACTTTTTCTATCCAATTCTTTTGGTAGACTCTTCCAGCCTCACTTAAAGCTTACTTAATCAAAGCTTGCGACTGCTTATGGAGTGGCTCGATAGGGGTGAACAGGCTATTTCTGTGGCAGTGAAACTGTTTGGAATGTTAGGGATACTGTTCATTGGTGATTATGAACGTCGTTTTACATTAAATCTATGAGGTTTACGTATATTGGTGAATTTGACTGCGATAATGTTTCAAAATTAGTAAGAGAAACAGTGATTATTTGATTATACAGACGCTTCGCCACTGTCCACAGGTTGCTACCTTAATATTACAAAGTTCTATCTGACATGTTTGGCCTTTTTCATTTACTATAAGACCATTAGGTCAGAAACATACTGCTGTTCCATTTAATCTATCATCTTCTTTAAGTCATTCATAGTCGTTATTAAGATATTCAGAGTTCCATTGAATAGCGGTTGACACGTTGTAAAATCTGAACTTATAACGTCAAATTTCTCAAAACTAGGTACTGGGCAGATAGAGCTTTGTAATTCTGATTTAGTGAGGTGCTACACAGCCTATACTCCAGTAATAGTGACTGCCTGCTCGAGAAAAATGTTTTGGAAGATCCAGGAGCCAACGGACTCTACTTTATGTTCAAGAAACAATAGTATGTAACTAGTGAAGACTACACTAATTATCGCTTAAAGCCTTGTCTGCCCACAGACCACAACTATTTTTTTTTCAAAATTATTCACATTGCTTCTGAGATGTCTGAAATCTCACCAGGTTTACTGTTTTACAACAAATCAAATGCACCCGCCACCCTCCTAAAATAAAGATTTATTCTTTTTTAAACAGCGACAAAAACAAAGTTTTGTTTTTAAATTTGGGGGGGGGGTATCCAATGGCACCTCGTAAGTAAATTTATTAACGTCGGTCATTTCTTTTAAAGACTCGGATCTTTGGCATTTACTTACTTTTTAAACTTTCTTTCACATTTCCATTCCCCGTTGACTTAGAGCGTCGAGGGGAGATGCAGTTTTCTATGATAGGCAAACTCTTCAGCTCTTTCAATTGAGATGTTTTAACTTCTTTGTGTGTGTGTGTGAGTGTGTGTGTGTGTGTGAGTGTGTGTGTGTGTGTGAGTGTGTGTGTGTGTGTGTATGTGTGTGTGTGTGTATGTGTGTGTTTATACTTGTGTGGGGGTGGGAGGGAGGTTGAGGTGCTATACGTAACAATTACCGACCTTATCCTCTTTAGATGGACCTGGTCTGTGAGAGAGCCGGTCTTGGAGAGCTCTCGCAGACAATGAATTTGTTAGGCCAAGGCATCGGTGGTTTTATCTTCACATCGCTCGCTGATCGCTTCGGTCGGAAACCCATCTATGTCTTCACGTTGTTTGGCATGACGATACTGCACACCCTTATAGGAGTGGCGCCAGAAGTAGGATCTCTGACTCTGTTCGGCTTCCTCATTGGTGGATTCCAACAGGTGATTGTGAACGTCATGTGAGGTTGCCATGACAAGTTCTGATATAGTTTAGTAGTAGTAGTAGTAGTAGTAGTAGTAGTAGTAGTAGTAGTAGTAGTAGTAGAAGTAGTAGTAGTAGTAGTAGTAGTAGTAGTAGCAGTAGTAGTAGTAGCAGTAGTAGTAGTAGTTGTAGTTGCAGCAGAAGCAACAACAACAGTAACAGATAGTTGTAGGAGTAGTTGGTGTGCTTCTCTGTGGATGTGTCGATTCTTTTGTAGTTGGTGTTTAATTGTTCGTTTTTAAGAACAAGGGGGCTAAGCCAGATTTCGGGGGTTTCCAGAAATCTTTACCTATATCAAAAGTGGGCATTGCCCTACCTATATGAGAAGTTTGGTTTTATTGATATGTATATTTGTTTGGTTAAAGAGAAAACTCTTCTTGTTTTTTACAGAAACTGAACAAGGGGTAGGAACTTTATCTTCGATTTTCTCAAAACATCTTTTTTCGGGATAGCCCCCTTGTGCTTAAAAGAGAACAATTAATGTCAAAGACTTGTCACACCATGAGCTTCTATACACAAGAAGAGTATTATTGTGAGGAAAAGTTGAGCCTAAGATATCCCTTCAGTAAACTCCCTTAATTCCGTAGCGTCTGTGGCCTAGTGGTTAGGCTCTCAGACTCGCAACCGCTAGGTAGTGGGTTCGAATCCCGTCAGGGACCCGACTTTGTCTCCCTGGGAAAGGCACTTTACACGAATTTTCCTCACTTCACCCCGGTGAGAATGAGTACCCAGCTATATACAGCGAAAGATCTTGTCAGGTTGTTAGTGTTTGAGCGCTAAATCGACTGCTTGCACTGTATGCTTCCCAGGAAGCTGAGAATGTTTCTGAGTGTTATAGGGTCTGTTGGGGTAAAAATGTAGTGTAGAGCGCATAGGCTTTGCTGTTGAGCGGGAGTATGCGCTTTAGTTCTATTTATTATTATTATTATTATTATTATTATTATTACTATTATTATTATTATTATTATTATTATTATTATCATGATTATTATTATTATTACTATTATTACTATCATTATTATTATTATCATTATCATCATAATTAATTAATACACACTAGGCATTTCGTGCGCTCAGGGCACTCTTTGCACTCATCTATTTGATCGTAACGTCGCGGTCTATGGTGATCACGCTACACACTGAAGCTTTATAAAGAGAAGAGCTGTGGCTATGATACTAACGCACGGTCTAGGGTATTCAAATTCAAGTCTACGATCAAACCAAACTCCAAACTAAACACTTGGGTTTTTTTTTCCTTCTGAACAGGGTGTTTGCCTTTCCTCCGTAACATTGTGCACGGAAATGATGCCTCCCCGTCACCGCATGTTGGCCTCTATGCTGTGTGGTACCCTGTGGTCCACCTCTGTTATGGTACTAGGACTGTTAGCTTGGCTGCTGAGATACCACTCTTGGCGCACACTGCAGCTGGTCATGATAGCCACCACCTCGTTCTGTGTCTTTCTGCCGTGGTGAGTTGTTTTTCTCATGCTTTTGTATTTTGAGACATCTGCCATTCCAGATTTCTTTTGTATTTTTTCTTAATTAATTTTATTTGGGAACCACCGCTTCGCCAGGTTTCTTTTTTATTTTAGGTGCTTAATTTAATCTTACATTTTTAAACTAACATCTTCCTTTCCATTTCTCCCTGTGTTGTCCTTAATTATTTTTGGTAATGATATTTTTGCCAGGTCTGGCCCTAAAGCGAAATATCAGGACAAAATTTTGATTAAAAACTTTTCTTTTTTTAGTGAGTTTGGACTCGTTTCCCTGTATCTTCCAAAGCAAATCCAAGTCGTATGAATCCTTTCGTTCTCCTGAATGTTATTCTCTCCTCTCTACTTATTGTTTGGCCTAAGTAGTTACTTTCCGTCAATTTTCATTGTTCTTGTTTACTGTAGCAACCGTTTTGTAGCTGGTGTAGTCAATCACCTATATGGCTTTTGTTTTATCTGTGTGGGTTTTTAGGCCACTTTGTAATTCTCTTTTTATGTTGTTAAGGTAAATCTTGATTTGTTGTTCACTTTCAGTGCTAAATGTAATGTCATCGTCGAATCTCAGTTCTTTCAGGTGTTCTCCATTGATAAAATGTCTTTACTGGGCGATGTTGCTGTGAATAGTTTAGGTGATATGGGATACCTTTCTCTTACTACTCCTTCGATGGCAATCTTTTTTTTTTCTAATACATGTTGTGTTATCCAGTTGGATTCGAAATAAATGCTTTTCAATATCTATATATATATGCATGCCCCATTTATATAACTTTTCTGAGAGCTTTACAAATTGCAGTGTTTTATGGAGCCAAAAGCTTGCTCACATTCATTAAGTCCAACGCATGTTGCTGAAGACTGTTTTTGTGGTGTTTTTCAATTACATAATTTTTTATGGTGCTTACAAGAGCAGATTTATGTGACGAAGTATTTTCAATTAACTCATAGCTAGAGATATACTCCTCTTTCATTTCCACGCAAATTAAATGATTTACTCAATAAAAGGCCATGTAGGATTCTGAATGGAAATGCTAATGGCATATTTATTTGATGCTAACAAAGCTGCTAATTGGACTGATTTTTGTCGGGCCTAGCTATTAAAAAATAGCAATAACGAGTTAATTTCACTCTCACTAAAGCACGTACGTGAGGAACGTTTTATTGCTTTGGCATTATCTGCTTTAACTTTATCCAACCATTATTTCTGCTGAAATGGTAATGCCACTAAGCCTGCTATCATTTTGTTATTTCTGACGGTCTCCGGTGGCGGGAGGGAGAGGGGCTCTCGTAGTCGAGAGGTTACGTTGTTTGCCTCTCATTCAGCACGTCCCAGGTTCGAACCCCGACAGATACGGAAAATTTTCTTCTCTTAAAATTTCTCCTTTCACCCCCGTTCTTACTTTCTAATAATGTTCTGTCGACTGCTTTCTTCCCCACTTTCTGCCCCCGAACCCCCCACCCTCCCTATTGCCCCCCCCCCCCCCCCCCCACCTTTCGGGCGCCTGACTCTTTCTGCAGCCTTTCCACCGCTACTCCTTTGCTTCTTCTTACTGTTGTCTTTCAGCCACACGTCTGATCTTGTAGTAGGTAAGATCGAACACCTAGATTTCTCAGATTTAAGGGCGAAAATTTTCAGAGGTCCAGTGTGCAAGTTGAGCACGTTAAAGATTCCTTAGTGGTCCTAAAATGAACAAGAGTAGGCTTCGGCCATCACCCAGAAAAAAATCAAAATTCTTACCAAACCGAAAATGTTTAATGTGTCCTGCACGCTCATATGACCCTACGCAGTTGTGAGCGTGGTAAGACACTAACCAAAAACAAAATTTTAACAAAAGAAGTCTCTTGAGGGTCCATGTCGGACAATAACTTACTGTACTTACATATTATCAAAACTTTTCAAACTTTCCATTTGACATCCAAGAAATCGGAGTTTCTGTGGATTGTTAGTAACGAATTGAATTACAGAACAGAAAACTAGTCAATATTAATAATAATAATAATAAATAATAATAATAATAATAATAATAATGATAATAATAACAATAATAATAATAATAATAATAATAATAATAATAATAATAATAATAATAATAATAATAATAATAATAATGATGATGATGATAATAATAATATGAATATGAATAATAATAATAATATGAATAATAATAATAATTTTTAAAAACAGCCAACTTTTGAGTACTCAGATAGTAATCAGACTCGTGTGCGTGATGGATCTGTCCAGGTTTCTAATGGAATCTCCAAGATGGCTGGCCTGTAACAACCGGGCAGATGAAGCCCTGGAAATCTTCAGGAGATGGTGTGAACAGAACGGGAAGGACTTTGCTCATGTGAAAAGTCTCTTTGACAAAAATGTTGTGGAAAAATTAAGGTGCGTCCAAATAAAACTCTACTTCATAGCGCAGGTTTGCTTATAATATCTTATTCAATTGAAAGATGGACTACCAACACTGAACAGAGCGGGTGGTTGACAGGTGCGCTGGTGTGTTTTGCGCCTTCTTTTCTATCCAACATCTTTCGTAATGATCTGTCTTCATTTTTTTGTTAGTTACTCTCTTGTAACACATGTAGTCTTCGGCACATATATGACCGTATTTTGTTGCAAGTACTTATTATTTTTTTTAAACCCGCTGCAACTGTAAAGAGTTTGTTTCCATGCCAATGGCCCAATTGTCCAAAGTTCGTGAATAGATGATTTTTAAAAGTTGACGGTGTTTGAGACATCTCCTAAAACAGTCAATACGGTTTTCCTCTGGCGAGATGTCATTCTGTGTCATAGATTTTCCATTGTTAACTAACATGACTTATTTCCTGCTATAGATTTGGTATAAGATACAGCCCAACCTCCTCCCCCAACCACACACACACACACACACACACACACACACACACACACACACACATACACACACACACACACACACACATGCGCGCGCGCGCGTGCGCTCTTCCATCTGCAAAAACAGCAAGTGCTTAAGAATTAAACACAACAATTATTATTAGAGGGAGTGAAAAACTACTACATGTAAAAGTGTAGAAAACTTTCTGAGCTTTTTTTTTCAATTGAATATTAAAGCTTTAAGAGGTTCAACAATTCAAGGAAATCTCACAAAGGCTGTAAAAAGTCAGAACCATTACAATACCGGTTCGAGATTCCAGCAATGTTCTCGTGTTGAGGATTTTCTTCAACCGGGTTTTATGATTTTTTACACTTTTTCTCGCAGAGTCAAGAAGATGTTGGAGGAAAGAGAAGGCGAGGAGAAGCCAGAGCTACAAGTGGAGAAGTACACCATCTTGGATCTATTCAAACACAAGCAGATCGCACTCACAAGCTTTGTCCTATGTTTTATCTGGTAGGTTTCAACACCAGAAGGTTTTATTATAAGATTTCGTTGCTATTTTTGTTAAAATAAAGATATAATGACGTTCTTTTATTGCGTGGAAAGGTACTGCTGAAACCACAGATGGGGAGAAGATAATTTGAACCTATCAATGGTGCCCTTCCATCACCTTTTCATATGATTCATTAGTTTTGACTCACACTCTATATAAACTGGCATCACGCTTTACTCTCCAGGGTAAAAGTAAAGTTTAGCCCCCCTTAGAACTTTAGTCTGAATACTCTGTATTTTTTGCAGTAAATAAAACAATGTTAATAAAAGACCTAAAGACAACACAACGTGTTATTGATACAGTATACTTCTTTTACAAATTTCGAAATGTAGAAGAAAGACAATATCCGCTTGTGAATTTTGATGATGATGATGATGATGATGATGATGATGATGATGATGATGATGATGTTGAAACTAGTGCTAATGATACATTTTCAGTTTTGTGGGGTATCTTAAATCATATATATATATATA